GCGACTGAGAGCTGTTGAAAGGAAGGCCCCTGAGACTGAAAACAACACCTCAGTTTTACAAGTAATTATTCACATTGAGATGTGATCCATGTACACTGTAAGAAATTATTTCCTCTATTTTCTTAAGAGCCACTTTTTAAGCATTTTTTTCCACACTGTATTTTAAGCAATACTTAGAAACTTCATCTGATGTTACACAAATATTTAAGGTTTCCCACCAATTTTGATATACTGATACTGAGACATTCAAACTCATATATAGTTTTTTTAACCATGTCTAGGTTTAAACATTATGCAATTTGATATCGTGATATCGCATCTTAAATTAAAATTATCTGAACACCAGATGAATAAAAAAGTTTTATTGGTAACAATTGTATTATTTCTCTCCATTTATTATGTTTTCCTTTTCAGGTTAGTGTTCCAATGCAACACCATCGGTCACAACATAAATATAAACATAAATATATCTTCAAATTAAGCAAAGCACAAAACGTTTTTAGTAAAATCTGATTATATAAATAGCAATATTTGCTGAGAGCAAGAATCATTTTTTACGGTGTCGATTATGAAACTGATCTGAAGTGCCCTCTGATCTCACATTACATAACTTGCACAAGCACCATTTATGTTTCTTATTTAAAATCAGGACTTTGTTAACCTAGCCAAATGTAATTATTGTGTGTACAGATTTAAGAAAAAAGGAGCATTTTTTTTTTACCTGAATTAAAGAGAATTAAAATTGATTAAAAAAAATCTACATTGACAAAATCACAAGCCTGAAAATATATATTTTACAATTACAACATGAATATATATTTGTTTGACTAATGCATATTATCAGAGACTCATAAACACAGTTCTTCTGATGCTTCATCAAAGTTGTAACGGGACCGACGAGACGTGAGGATCCATGTGCAAGCTTTTATTAAGAGACGTGGTTTTAACAGGCATGGGTCAGACAATGGCAAACGGGTATATCGAAGGCAAGGCAAGAGATAAATCCAGGTAGAAGGCAAAGGTCCAAGCAGGGGCAAACAGAGTCAGAAACAGCAAGCAAAGGGTTAATCCAAGAGACGTGGCGTGAATCAGAAACCAGGAAAACAGACAAGGCAAGACTAAGACTAGACTAAGAAAACGATGAAAACTTAAACAGGCTCGGTAAGGTAGCTATCCGCTAAACAGGGATACACGCAAAACAATACACGAGACTAAAACAGAAAACACGGAATGGCTCAGTAAGGCAGCTAACACTTGGGGAGTGAAAAATGCAGAACAATACTCGGCAGTGAGAGAGAGGAAGTCCATGGCTTATGTAGCATGTCTGATTGGATTCAGCTGTGTGTGTGTGTGTGATCAGTGCATTCAGCTGTGTGCGTGTAATCAGTGCAATGGTTGATGGGAAATGCAGTCCAGGGTGATGTGTAACAGTCTGTGTGGTGTGAGAGTCAATGTAATGGGAGAATAACCTCTAGTGGCAATCGGCCTGAAGCCCACGGAGCGGATTCGTGACAAAAGTGAACTCAGTGATGCCTTTCACAACATCTCATAGTTGTTGTATATTACGCTTTGTATGTCACTGCATAAAAAGACATCTTTTTATGTGGCCCGACTTTAATACAGGCAGTTACCAGAGTGCTAGGAAAGCAGGAAAACACGTTAGTATTTTGTCCGAACAAAGCAAAACTAGACTAGAACACGCACCAGCAAATTGTGCACCCGCAAACCAACAAACACACCAATTTACTGAATGACACTGTTTCTTATAAAAATGCACAGCAAGTCCCACAGATATTACTTTGTAGAAGCAAAAAAGGTCTGTTAGTGTGTTTTGGTGCCATTAGTAAAAAATGTGTACTACTTTTTACACTAAAAAAGACGTGTATTTCAGCACTGTGCGTGGGATTAAGATTCTGCTGGAGAGGTTACTGTTGTCAGTCAACACTGTGAAGTCCTGTGAGAGGACAGCCCTGACTCAGCTCAGCTCTTTCTGCTCCCATGCTGCAAAAGACTGCTCTGACCTGCCAATCAAAATGAATTTGCCCTCAAGAGACGAGAATATCAATGACTCAGTGCTTTCAAAGATCACATGGTTCATGTACGGTGCAGCCTGGTTGCCATGTAAGAAAAAGAGACAGGAAAAAACAGATGCCATGGTTTACTCAAAAGTTTGTGTATAAAAAAAACTGATAGCAAGGACAAAAATCTACAAATATGATCTACTAATACTAATTCTGTCAGGACCACTATCGTCAAAGATGATTGACAATTAGCATACAGTTTGGATTGGCGGTATGGTTCTGTTCTGGGCAAGAACTCCCTACGCATCCATGCAGCCTAGCATGGATATGAGCAGGGAGAGCAGCGATAACCCCCCCAGGGTAAACAGAACAGAACCAACAAATGCATTGCAGATATCGTTAAAGTTCAATAATGTTATGTACACATTTTAGAATTAGTCTGATTCAAAGGAGAATCAGAAGGCTGAATCCTGACTGACAGAGGAGGAGTTGGGGATGGAGGAGGGTAATTAGCTATTGAGCAATGCGAAAACTGCTGATAATACTGAGGGAACTTATATATGAATGCTTAGATAGGTGTCGTATTCCCATAGGTTGATGGGGATCAGCTGAGAGTCAGCTGATGCGAGCTTGACTAACGTGACCTGCCAGAACTAACGCTATGCTAGATTTCTACTAATCAGATGAACAACACACACCTTGTCAGTTTCTCTTAATGAATACAATATTTTGGGCATGCATATAGCAGCATGCATATAATAAATGTGTATTGTATTTAAACACAGGCCTGCACATATTCATACTTCATAAAATAATAATAAACCTAAGCATTGCTGGTTAATAATGCAAAAGCTTCAGTTTAAAATGATTATGTCTAACATATTTGTACCTATTCCCCAATTATTATTAATAAAGTAAATCAACTGCAATACGCCTATGCAGCATATACATAATTTGTTAGACTGCACAAGCAAATTAGTACCTCTTATTTGCAATCTTAGAAAATCAGAGCCAGGGACACTTAAAGAACGGGGAGGGGGAGTGACATTGACTCAGAGAGGGCTGAGTCACGAGAAGAAGTTCAAAATTGATCGCTTGAATATGCACAATCTGCTCTCAAAATCCTCCAGTAGCTCAGAATTATCACTTCACAGTATTTGATGTTCAATAGCTGCATTTTTTGTTTTATGAGAGTTCTAATTGTAACACAAAGCCTGTCAACTAAATCATCTTCCTCTAGGTTTTCCTTTGGAGGACTCTAAAAGAGATCTTAAACTGATTAGTTAAGTTAGAATCTGTCAGCATGTCATGATTTACTCTTATATCTTCTGAGTCATTTAGCCCTTGTGATATATTTGGCTTTGCTTAATCTTGTCTGCATTTGAATAACATGGTACACACATTCCCTTCGGCTAAAGGACAACACAAAAACCTGTTCTTTCCCTTAGGATCATCCACAATGAGCCGACCAGAAATACTCATCTTAAAGCTGTTTGAATGTATTCTGTTTTTAATTCTAAACCGAGTAGCAGGAGACTTTTCACATTAAGATTCTAACATAAACCCTAGACTGGTATACCTGTTCCTACTGAGACTGCAAATAGGTTTCAAACTTTTAATCTGCAATTATTGCCTGAGGCACTGACTCACTAAGAAACGCCATGTTTATCTGACCCAAAATGGTAATTCTACAAATGGCTGGACATCCTTCACACAACAGCCAGTAGCATTCAGAGATCTACACGCTGATGCATTGAATTTCCGCCAGACTTTTGACTTCAGAACTGCTGAGTAACAGCATAAACAGGAAGCAGATGCACAAGGGTTCTTCCTAATGCCGCCAAACACCATCAGTGCTGGATCATGGAGAGGTTAGTTTTGTAAAATGCACATTTTCTCCTCTCAGCTGCAAATGAAATTTATTACAACAGGGTTTATGTTTTTCAAATGTGCCATTTCAAAATAAATAGAGTGAAATGCCAAGGTTTTTACATTCCCACAGAATTTAACAAAAGACAGCGAGTGTTTCAGCAGTGACACACATTTATTGAGTTAATAGCTGTTATTGTATCCCTACGATGCCATGTGACCCACACATCACCAACTGATGACAATATGATAATTGAACAAAATTTAAGTGTCAAAGCATTTTCACAGTTACCCAAGCAACAGAACTACAGAGCAAACAGAAACTGTCAAAAATCATTTACCTGCCTCCCATGCAGCCTGTATTTCCTCATTGCAACTGGCCAATATAAGCAACGCAGACAGTCCAACAGAAAAAAAATTATGCTTTAATAGAGCATGAACTTGACTTACTTTTCCATCAGTATAGATGGTATTCAAATTTATGGTCAACATGCTTACATTTTCATAGAGAAGTAAAATTGACCTGAATACAATCAAATATTCTTGAACTTCAAAATATAGATTGGTAGGTTCCAGTTACGGTTACTTAAACACCAGTCGCAGATATATACAATACAGCATATCATATGCCCACGCTAGTGCTCAAGCCTATGTGTTCAGTGTGCATACAACGGAAGAGAATGGGTCTAATCAGTAAACATTATTTTCAGGGCCTTTCACACTTGAAATAGTTAAAGGGACAGTTCACCCAAAAATGAAAATTCTGTCATTAATTACTCACCTTCATTTCATTCCAAACACGTAAGACCTTCGTTTATCTTTGGAACACAAATTAAGATATTTTCTATGAAATCTCAGAGCTTTCTGACCCTGCATAGCCAGCTTAATTGACACGTTCAAGGCCCAAGAAAGGTAGTAAAGACATTAAAATAGTCTGTGTGATATCAGTGATTCAACTATTATGTTATGAAGCTATGAGAGTACTTTTTGCGTGCAAAGGAAACAAAAATAATGACTTCATTTAACAATTTCTTCTCTTCCGTGTCAGTCTTCGCCGCACGTTCATGAGAGTACCACAATGTAGTTGTGGTACTGTTGTGAACGCTCATTGTTTGGAATGACAGGAGGGTGGAGTAATTAATGACAGAATTTTCATTTTTGGGTGAACTAACCCTTTAACTCTGGGTCATTCTAAACCCCAGATAAAGGGAATCCTGAGTTATCTTGCTTCACGTTTCACACTGCTCATAATTTACCCAGGGTTAACAATTAATCCTGGGTATTCCTAATATGTAATCCTAATCTGCCGACTATGCTATCAAATTTTTCTGAATGCACTTTTTGGACTATAAAGGTAAAAATTAGTCTCTTCTTCACTCTAATGTGCTGTGTTTCCATAATTGTCCAAAGCATGTGAATGTGAGGCATTCCATTGGTTGTCTATTGCTACATGTAGGTATCTAGCCATAACATTTATAATAACACTTGAATGTTATATTTAATTATAATAACACTTGAATGTTTCCCACTGTACACATTTGACACCACAATGTGGGATTAACACCCCAAAAGCTGTGCTACTGTAACCCAGGGTTTCATAACCTCGGGTTAAAAGCAGGTAGGATATAGTATGATGATAACCAAGGGTTAAGTGCAGTGTGAAAATTGTGTACTTTTGTTTCGAAAGTACAGCCGCTAGAAAATTTGAGTGTTAACATGCAAACACTTACTATCCTTTTCGGTGTTGAGTTACATAAAATTTAATGTTGCCCCATGACGGTGCAAAATCTAAATCCTTAAAATTACTGTAAAAATATCAAATACCCAAATACCCAGAAGTAATGCAAGTATAAGCTTCACATTTCTGTTTTTAAATCCTCCACAAATTGTTTCCATTTACTCCCATTGTAAGCACATGAACACTAATTGTATTCATCATTATGCCACAGATGCTGTTGATTGAGCTGAACTTTACTGAACCCAGAATATTCCTTTACAGTAGGTTTGAAAAACTTTTTAAATAGGTCTGAATTACATAAACAGCTTACTGGACATTAGCTTGTTTTGTGTGAAGGCACTTACTTTACAGTGTTGTATAAGAGAAATGGTTTATAAAGACCAAAACTGCTTTAGACCGAGAGTGGGAGCTGAATCTGAACCAGCCCAAAGGGCAGCCGAGAGATCTGCGGCAGCTCTGGCGAGACCCAGAAAAGCCATAATGGAGGACAAATTGAGCATGTAAGTAGCAGTGAGCTCTGTAGTCAACTAAGGATCAGAGCAGCCAACTCTTAAACCTTGCACTCTGAGTATCTGCTCAGAATTTGTGCTCTTTCCCACTGATAAACTATTTAGCTGATCTGTGGTTTCAACCTGCTGTTTCTGATGTTGCGAAATTGTAGGGGGAGAGTGCTGTGTTTTTACCAGGTGCTTTGAACGAACTGCAAGCATTAGGTTGGACACAGGCACCTTATGATGGAGGGCAAGAGGTTGGGAACTACAACCCACTATCTAACACACACTTCAACAGCAACACGACACAATACAACTATTCCAGTTGCCTAGCAACAAGTGCCTAGCAATAATAAACTTACAATAGTCTTTACCTGGTTTGGCATTTTGACTGTTTGTGGGATCTTGCATAAGCCTCATCATGAGTCTCATTAAGTGTAAGTCAATAGCAGTTTGAGAAGGGAAAGCTGAACAGTTTGACATCTGTGTGTTAATACCTGCTTTGAAACACTGTAGTCTGCCCTGCAGGAAACTCAGCAGGCCGGGAGAAGGCAAGACAGTTAGAGCAACACTCCATGTCTGCCTACAGATTATATGCACGCTGTGTTCGCCCAGAAAAACCTGCTTGGCCCCTTGTAGAGATCACCTACGAAGCCAAATCAGTTCAGAAATTGTTAACCTAAAAAGACAGTTAGAGAAAAAAATTAAAAAGATTGCAAAAAGCTGGATGTGATACTGTACTGTACGTCCAAAAACAGAAGAATCAGATGCAACTGTTCTTGAAACCTTTTCGACCTTAATTTGTAGCACTGTCAGGATCAAACTACTGTAACAAGGCCAAACTTATCAGTGTTTTGAAGGTTTGGTGGAAGTGTCAAAATAAACTCACTTGAACATATTGGGAAACTTTTAAACAGGCTTTATGTAAAAAAAAAAAAAACTAAACTGCACTAAACTATGACTGCAGCCGCTGAGCAAACAAAGCACTCAAAACAAAACCATTTTATTCACACTCACAGACGTCTTTCTTTGTACGTAAAGCCGTAAGCTTTGACCTGACAAGTGTCAAAGTGGTGTCTAAAATTACATCTATATATATAATTACAAAGCTTTTCTTCAGAGAGATCAATTTCTTGTTTTTAAATGTGACCTCTTTTGCTCGCTTCAGCTAAAACAAACAAAAAAAAAGAAAACATTTTCACTTAAAACAGCCAAACGCTTTGTAAGTGTGCGTCAGAAATATTCATGAGTGCAATTAAGTCTCCGTAGGGGGAAAAAACACAAATACAAATCGAGCGTATTTTTAAACCGTGCAAATCCCCTGCATAATTGCACCAATAGATGAATTTAACCATAGCCTTCTGAATCCAGGGCAGACTTCTATGAAGAAGATGAGAGACGCAGAACTTGGATGCTGCACCCTCGACAACTGAGGATATTATGGGATTGGAGCCGGTTAAGTAACAACAATATGGCATTCTGTGGGGTTGTCGTGTTAGTAAGCTAATTTGGAAGCCGGCGGCAATAATTCTGGTGCGTCTCTAAGTGTGCCCTTGCAAGGTACATTGCCCCCTCATGAAAGTAATATGGTTTTGCAAACTCTCAGCAGGTTCAGTTGTAGAGGAGCTTGAGCCAAGCACGTCGTTTTGTGATGACAAAAAAGAAGAACATGGAGCAGGGAGGGTATTTACATTCTTCATTTTCTCTCTACAGACGGCGAGATTATTGCCTGCCATTATGAGTGCGTTCCAACTGGGAGCAATTTATTTAGATTAAACTTCGCTGTTGTTTCCTTAATGCATTTCAGAAAATATTAAATTGTGTGAGGAAGGGCATGAGCACAAATAGAAGAGAGAGAGAGAGAGCTGTAATAAGCAAAAAGGTGTGGAGCAACGGAGATGGAAAAGAATTATTAGCGCAAAATTATTTTATGGAATCGCAGAGAAATGAAACAATTCTGTTATGATTTTGTCAGACCAAGAGACGCAGTCAGTTCAAGATGGAGGGGTCTCGCGTGCACTTCTTCCACTGCGAAAAACATAATGATCTCAATTACACGGTCATCTGTCAACACAAACAAGTTTGTTTTCTTCAGGTGTCACCGTCTCTGATGGAAATGTCAACAACGCCTGCGTAGATTTAAAGAAAACCTTTGCATTGAAATGACAAAATGCTCACAACAGATGCACACTGTTAGGGAACAAACAGGCAGATGATAGAGCTGGTCAGGTGCTGTTGTTTCCACGGTGAATACTTTCACAAATGAGAGTCCATTACTTTGCTCACTTCTCGAGACGTCATGGATCCAATAGCTTAAAGCGCTTGATATAATGAAATTCATGAAACAGACCTCATATTGGAAATTACATCAGATGTGTTATGGATATTCTGGTTCCCATATTTACTATCTGAACTCTCAGGCTGAACTCATTAGTATCCACATGTCAAGTTTACGCATACATTTTTGCATGTATGGATATCCACAAAAATGTACTGACAGCATGTAAACCATACAGCATCTATAGCAGTTACACAGACAATCTAGATATTTTGAATCATATAGATATCTACAATAGATAAACTCTTAACCCCACCCCTACATTAACCACTTCTCAGTAAAATAAAACTATATTTAGGCAGAAATATATACTGACTTTTGTTACATTAAACTCTTATGTCCATATTCATGTAAAAAAATCAACCTGTTAAGCCCACAAATTCAATATTTATTAACATTTGTACATTTGAAAGTTGTTCATATATGTAAATGCTTACATTTTAGTTGATATTTGTAAAACATATAAGCTTACAGTGTAATTTTTTAGAACCTTTTAGATTTTTTTCTTCTTCAATTTTTAGAACCTTTTCAAAGGTCTGAAGTCTCTTCTGCTCATCAAGGCTGCATTTATTTGATCAAAAGCACTAAAAACAGTAATATTGTGAAAATATTATTAAAATAGAAAATTACTTTTCTATTTTATTAACACATTATAAAAAGTTATTTATTTCTGTGATGTCAAAGCTGAATTCAGCATCATTATTCCAGTGTGCAGATTTGGTGCTCAAGAAACATTTCTTATTATTATTAATGAAGAAAACTGTGCTGCTTAACGTTTTTTGAAAACGTGGTACGTTTCTTGGATAAATTGAATTTAAAAGTAATCATTCATTAGAACTAACTCCCTATGGACATACAAAAACTATAAGTTACACTGCCCTAAATTGAGTTCAGAGATTGAACCTCCTGCATACACACTTAGTTAAAGTCTTAGCACTGTCAAGAGGGATATTATTTTACTATATCTCAGTGCGACCTCATTAAACCACATTGCTGAAATCACCTCATGCCAGCCTGCCCCTGTGCCTGAGGCTCATCTTATGCCAGTCTGCCCCCTGCGCCCAAGGCATGCAGAGAGTAAAGACTCTGCTTCATACTGCAAATTAACATCATTCATCTATATCATGGAACTGAAAACCTCATAAAGAATTATAGAGTAGCTAGTCTCCTGTTTACAAGAATTAAAGCATTAAATCTGTTTCGTTACTTTTAGCACACTAATCTAGATTTAAATCTGGAATTGGACAGTCATGTGAACAGAGAAATTCTCTCACTTCAGAGCCTATAGCTCTGAAGCTTCCTATATCTGTAAACAGCAAAATCAAAATTTGGTCTAAACTTGAAAAATGAAGTTTGTAGTTTTAAAAATGTTAATACAAAAATACTATAACATAAAAACAAATTAACAAATAAATAAATAAATAAATAAAATAAGTCACAACAACTGTGGCTCTAGGCATGTAATATGTGTGGGGAATTTAGTTTCCAAGGCAACAGTGCATTCCAGGAGAGCTGAAGGGAGGGGTATGAGTTTAAATATATATTTTTATGAGATTATATAAATGAAAGGTGGATGAAGAACAGGGGTGTCAGGATGATTATGTAAAAACTAGCAGGGAGGGTGGTGGGTCATGCTTTTGGAAACATTTGAATTCCCTCACTGCATTGCTATGAGCACGTTTCTGAGCTTCAGGAAGTACTTATCTAGTTCTATGAATGTTATATTAGAGCTGAAATACTCTTTCAGCACTAAAAAGCACAGCAGCATTATTAAAGAATGAATGAATTTCAGGCACCAATGTGACTTTTGTCTTTTGTTCATCTTTCGGTATAGTTTTTGTCATAACACATTTATGAATAACTAACAACACATTTTTCTATATAACTTGCTTCACTGGTTTTATATCACATGAGAAAACATAGCAACTGGAATAAACCCATGATTAAGGTTGTATGTATCTTTGGAACAGTGAAATCACCATCCGTCAGTTATGTTTGATAAACAAGTCAACAGATATGTTTTGCTTATAATCACATCTTTTGCAGTACTTCTTTAAAGCACTGTGTATTATTAAATATTTCTTTGCAATCACTTTTGTTTCTGTGAACCATACATAATGCTTAAACGCTGGAAATGAAATGGCACTTGCTTCACATGTACAATTTGCTGAACATTATGTATATAGGGCGAAATAGTGTTTATGTTCGCTTTGTTTCAGAAGAGTGCTAATTTACATAATATGTCTTTCCTCTATTTCATGCTGTGAGAAACAAAGTTGACACCAGTATGCCAGAAAAAAAAAAAAACGAAAGACACATTAACATCAGAGACAGACAAAGCAAAAAGACTCCTTTATGATCCTATGTTAAGTGGCCAGGAACAAACACGACTTCATGACTTGATTTAAATAGCCTGCTGTTCCAATCAAATGCAAATGACCCACAATACGTCATCACATTAAAACATTTCACTTTCCTTCATCCATTATGTGCTATCTCCCTCTACTTTTTCTAAGTGCTAGTTTACCTAATCAATTGAGGTTAGCTATAGGTCTAACTACTATAGTATTGGTCTGCTATTGGTGATCTGTATTGAAGACTCCGGATGGTGCTCTAGGTCTCCTCCCAGTGGTGAATCCATCTTATTTGTCTACCTGAACTAGATATATTTTAGGGCATTTAGGTTACAATGTCTATGAATAATACGGTCATTAGTATCCGTCAGAGCCCAGCGTGTGTTGCTGTGTTAAATAGATCTGCCAGAAGAAGAGCGAGTAAATGGACCCAGCCTGGGACTCACACAGTTTCCACCAGACCGAGCTGAGAGTTTAAGCTCACGAAGGCCCTCAGGTAGTCATGTATTAGCTGAACGTGGCTGATACTATGAGTATAGAATGAACAACAGCTCCTGTAAGGTCAAACTCAGGTTTTGGAGGCACTTTCCTGTTCACTAGAGTTGGGCCTATATAATGAGATAACATCATCATTCCACATCCTGGACATGAGTTCCTCGTCTTGGCCTCTCCCTAGACCATCTGCTCTACATCTCCAGGATTGAATGTCACTTGCTTATCATTGCTTTCATTTGAGCCAGCTGAGAATGACTGAGCTGTCGGACCAGCCAGAAGCCCCCTGCTCTCTCTCTGGACTTCCTCCTTTTCAGGCAACGGTGCTAATTAAATACACAGGGTTTGGCACAGATGCCCACTTCCCTCTCTTCATTGTGGGTTTCATAGCAGTTCTCCTGCCACTGACCTACATATTCATCTCACTACTAGGACTGGGTTGAAAATATTGATTCTCAATCTTTCAGCTGTTTTCAGTCGACGCATGAACAAAAACATGTTTTTGTAGTGCACCTTCCATCCAATAAATCGCAATATGCTTTGTACTTTGTTAATTTTGATATCTAACAAAGTCTCAACTTTCAAATTTTGTAGATTTTATGAAATTAAGACAATAAATAATGTTTTGGTGCTCTTTAATGTAAAGTTACACATCAGCATCGCTTTAACTGCCTCAAATCAAGCAAAGCAGCAGCATAGACCGCACATGAACCAATCATCTCTTCACCTGTACTACTAGTTATAGCACAAAGTAAACATGAATGAACATAGGAAGAAGGTATGTTGAAAGATATACTACAACTTAAATGTAAAATGTATAATGACGCCAATAATGTAGCTTGTAAACAATGTCATGTATCATTACATGTATCTTAGAAAGGCCATCCAATCACCATAGCTCGTTAGTCAACAAGAAAATATAACACTAGCTTGATACAGACACTATAATACATATTAATTATATTTCTGTCATGACAACTCTCTGAGAGTTTAGCATGGTAATATACATGGCAATGTTAAGGTGTTTGATCTTGGCAGAATAGATCTGCTAGGCTGCTGCTGTTGCAGAGCAAGTTTTGAGACTTGCTACTGCCAATACATCCACAAACATGCTGCACATATTACATATAAAATAACCCCTGTATACAACATACATAAAATTACCCCATAGCAGATCTATACAGATGAATGAATGAATGAATGAATTTATATATAGGCTAGTGCTTTATTGTGTATTGCTGTACACCCGAAGCGCTTTACAATCATATAGGAGAGGGGTCTCTCCTCAACCACCACCAGCGTGCAGCATGAATGATGATGGATAGCAGCCACAGTACAACGGCGCAAGTGTGCTCACCACACACCAGCTACAGGTGGAGAAGAGAGAGTATTTGAATGTTGAGCAGCAATCTCATTTGCTGCTAATGCGAAAAGAAACCAATCAGCTGCACCATGTTAAGAATGATGTGATTATATCAGCTCAGTTAGAACCTATCGCTTGTCCCATCTAGAGTTTCATGACAGCACTTTGTATTTCTACTTAACCTGTTCTTCAATATTTAATGTGTTATGAAAAGCCACCATTTAAATAATCATATTTCCAAAAACGAATTAGAGTAGATGCCACTAAAAAGTTATTACAAAAACAATTTAAATGTTTGTATACAAATGAGTTGTACATTTTAACCATTAATACTAATGTACCACATGACAGAGTTCCCTGTATAGTTTACAGCATTAGCTGTTTTTCCCTGAGATAAATTTATATACCGTTACTGATATAAAACTAAATGAATCAAATACCAAACTTGTGAATCGAATTGTGAAATCTGTGTCAATACCCATCCCTACTCACTATGTGGGATTCGCATGCTTAACTTTCTCCCTCATTTTCTCATTTAACGCAGAGTCTTCTTGTCGAATCTCTCCCACAAAGGGCACAAAACTCAGGTGGAATTTTTGAGGCGAAAATCACATTCAATTAGAGATAAGATTCAACACAAGAACAATGGTGTGCAGTGTAAAAGTACAGTGCAGCTGACATGAGAGCAGAACTACATGGATAGAAGAATTCTAATGGATCCTCTCACCAACCCTGTTACGGCACTTTAGTGCACTCTTAACAGCATGCTCGCCCCATTCCTGTCTCTCTCTCACTCTCTCTCTTTCCATTCTCTCAGGTCTGTGCAGTTTAATTGAGGTCTGTGCAATTAAATTGTGCCCTGGAAGCCATATTCAGCTTACTCGATAGATAGTGGCAGCACATCCTGAGGAAATAAGGGCTCTAACCTGTTCAGTCCCCACCCCTCCCTCTCCCTGAGGAAATTCGGATGCGTCACAAAAATTTAAGCTCTTTCAGTCTGTACCAACAACACCCCTCCACCTCCACCAGACCCAGTTGTTGCGACATCACTTCTTTATCTCAGACTTATCTGGAGATCTATAGCGGTCTCTCACATGGCTGCAGCACCTCGCTACTTGGCCGTAATTAGCAAGCAATTCCATTAAGGCAAATGAAAGGGTCTATGAGGCTTAATGGCTTCGATATCAGTGGCTGGAGTAAATATCATCCATCAGAAGCCGCCTTAAGTTTAACAAGCCAATGAACTCACCATCACCTTTGTGGTAAGCGACAGCCCTTAAGTATTGTACACAGTCTAAAGGTCTTGGTCTACATGGGCAGAACGCAAATTACATTCTAAATTTATTCTTATTATTTACTCACCCTCATGTCATTGTAAAACTGTAAAAGAAAGTGTTTTTGTACATAAAATGAAAATGAATTGGGTAATTTTTCAAAATATCTTCACAGAAGAAAGTAAGTCACAGGTTTGGAATGACTTGAGGGTAAGGAAATTAATTTTTTATTTTTCGGGTGAGCTATTCCTTTAACATGTGATACATACAGCACAAAGCATTACCGCTTATCTATCTCTCACCGTAACCACTGAGATGTCAGCTTGACTCTACAGTCTTTCATGAAGAATGATGTCTGTTTTCCATCCTAAAGACGTGTTGACATGTTCAGTTTCATCTTTCTCCTGCTTTTGAAGTCACTCTTCTTCACCATTAAGAGGATTCACTGCACTCTAAAGAAGCAGACATCATATTTCAGGCTTGCTATTGTGTATAAAACACAAAACACCTGATCTGAAGAAAGAAAGGATGGTGGATTAGGTGGCCCATGCAATGATGACCAATGTATCTTTTAGATCATAAATGCTGCAGACACTACAGTTCAAAACTTTGGGCTCAGTAAGATTTTTAAAAATGATTTTGAATATAATATTTAATGTTGAAAACAGAATAGAAACAGAAAATAAAAGCATTTCTATGAAATATATTTTTTGTAACATTAAAGGAGACATATTATGCCCCTTTTTACAATATGTAATATAAGTCTCTGGTGTCCCCAGAATGTGTCTGTAAAATTTCAGCTCAAAATCCTCCACAGATCATTTATTATATAATTTTGAAATGCCTATTTTGAGTGGAAGCAGAAACGCGCTGTTTTTCGGGCCCGTCTCTTTAAATGCAAATTAGCTGCTGCTCCCCGCCCCCTTTTACCAGCTGCGCCATTACAGCTCGTACCGGCTAAAAACATCTGTTTTGGTTCTGATTATCATGTTTATCGCGCTGAAATCATGCTTTTTAAACCATATGGGTTTAAACTTCTGACATACGGTTTTCTGAGAGCACACATCCAAAGCACACATACAGAAAGTGGCTGTCACAGCATGTGAGTACTAAACTAAGTTTAAACTCACACACAAGTTTACATTAAAAACACACGAGTTACAAACTCGTTTATAATGGGTTTTAATGTTTTTGTCTCGTCGCTCTGGCCAGACAGGGCATCACAGTATGGTAAGGGGCGTAACATTTCCGCAAAAAAAAATATTTTTAGCAACATCATATGACCCCTTTTAAAACCTGGAAAATTCAGATTTTCATGATATGTCACCTTTAAAACATCTTGATTGCTTTAGATAGAATAATAAAACACAAAGGATATTAGGGCTTTTCTCAGAAATAACTTCACTTTTTTGAGGCCTTTTTGCAACGACTTTTAACCAGCTTGTGTCAAGGTTTAGAAGAATAGAGTAGAGCATCTCTTGATAGTCTCTGCAAGTAATACAAATTCAAACGGTCACACAGTAATTGTTATTCTTCCACTGTTTTCCATGGTAGCCAATGCCCTCTAGACTATAACCCAGCTCAGCTTTCGGTGCTCCATGCTTCCTTCCACATTTTTACTGCCACTTCAAATAAGAGTCAATATTACACCCATACCCTTTATGAGGTTCTGTCTGCACTGAGAAAAATGTGCCCTATTAAGACCAAACAAGACCAGGTTGTTTAGACTTAAATCACTTCCTTTGGGCAAAACATTGGTGCCCATAGAAAGCCAGAGTCGTCCTCTGAAACAAGCTTCTGCTCTATTATAGGTTTCCTAAATTATAATGATACAATGTTTCTGAGCTCTCCAAGATCTCTAAACCTTTTAACAATACTCTCAAAAGATATCTGCCTAGCTTTACCCCAAGAGAACGAACAAAAGAGATGGATGAAACCTGCTCTGGTCTGAAAACAGCCCTATCATTATATACCTTCACCGATGCTTAATCATCCTGACATGGACAAAGACCTACACCTGAACTCACACAACTTTGTTGCAAACTGATGAACAAATGGCTTATATTACTCCTTGCTGATAACACTTTCCAGGAAAGGTCAACTCGATTATCCCATATTTAACAGTATTGGCTCTATACTGTGTGACACAAGGTATTAAAGTCACTGAAATCGCTGTATAATCATTTTCACCTCCACACTCCCCACCACTTCAAACATTTTATCCACATATATTTGAGATACATAAAAAATATATGGTGCAAACAACACCAAATTAGCACTGTATACATTTAAAAAGCTTTAGTTTGATGTACAGCAATGCTTTTTGTTTCCTCAATGCTGAATATGTATGTTCCTTACAACTATTCTGTGTCACTGTGAGAAGAGAAAAAAATAGAGAGGGGTGAAATGGAACCACAATGATTTTTAAGCTGAGTACCTGAATAATAAACCAAACAACTAATCCTGCTGAACCTAATGTGAATTCACTACTCTTCATTTAACATATGCTCAAACAGAGATGAGACTCATTGTAAGAGGATTTTGAGATGAATCTAAAGGTTTTCTATCTTGGGAAATTGTTTTGACTTTGATCCATCTGTTTCCATGCAATTTCCTTTTGTTCTCTGCATATAAATCTAAAGTTAAAAAAGCTGAGTAGAAGAATTTCCAACATAAAATAAGGTAGATTAAGTTAGGAACATCTTGTTAGATGTTCTTTGCTGTTCTTCTTGCTCCTCTCATCTCATCTCTCTTTTTTTCTACCTCACGTCATAGGCGTAGATTTGTTTTTTTGTACTTTTTTATGTTGAAAATAATTTAGTATGACATGCTGGTAAATTAAGCATTGACCGCTACAGGGATCTTGTTAGAGAACTCATGAGTCATGCATGTGATGTTGAACTTTCAATGACTGCTAATCAAAGGGTTAATAGTAGGCAAGTGTAAGGTTTACAAACACTACAAATAATTAGCCTAGTTATTATGGTTCCTTTATGAACAATAAATAAACAGTAATGATAAATCAAATGTGAAAAATACAAAAATATTAAATAATAGGCATAAATAAATGTCATAGTTCAATTAAATATTTTCATACTTGTTTTAACTTTAAATGATATCAATAAGCTATGTCAAAAAATAATTTGCCTTGTACAGACGCAACACTACGCACAGGACTCAAAATGAACATATCGTCATCAGCTTTGAATACCACTGCAAAAAACATAGGCTACATCCATACTCACATTACATGCAAATATCAGCATTAATGTAAACAGCATTGAGTTATCTTAAAACCAGAGCATGGCATCTTGCAAATGTGTAAAGTACAAATTAATCTCTTTAAATATATACAATCCACATGCAAAATTGTCTCTAAAATTCAAAATATTATCCATTGCTGTCATCATTCAAATCTTCAAAAAGTTCCGCCGCCGGAACTCTCGACCCCAGGAGGTTAAAGCTGCAAGCAGCGATGAAAGGGCCTTCGCACCCAGGCTCACCGCCAAATTGATAAGCAATATAGACGACGCCATTGTTTACAATACAACTGGAGCACATGCCGCTGAGGTGAGGGGCGGGACGTTAGACGCGCACTAGTGGCGGTTTAGACAATCACAACACACTGGACCAGCTAACCAATCTGAGCCCATCGCCTATTTCTGAGGGAGGGGCTTCATAAAAGCAGGAAATGATCAGCGCATTTATAGGAGAAGGGACAGAGCGGTGTGGAATAAAGGTAAATTATGTGAAAAATAATGCATTTTTTTTAAAACAAAGCATTATCAAGTTAGACTGCACCCCATAAACACAATAAAACCTAGAAAAAAAACAGTCAACCACCCCTTTAAAGTGGTAAATATAGGAAGAATATGCCAAAGTCATTTATATCTGCCAAATTTCCTGCTGCCAAAAGGTGGCGCTATGATTATAACTGAATATTGGCCTTAAGATATGTTAAGGCCAGGACTCTTATCAAACATGTGAAGTTTGGGGCAGATCAGACATTGCATGTTCAAGTTAGTGTGAAACAAGTAATTTCCTGTTGCCAGCAGGTGGCGCTATAATTATAACTGAATATTGGCCTTTAGATTTGTTCAGGCCAGGACTCTTATAAAACGTGTAAAGATTGGGGCAGATTGGGCATTGTATGCATGAGTTACAACAACGTCCTGTTTGATGGTATTAATAGCATGCTTTACCACTTAGTAAATGTTGCTAGCATGCTTGAACATATTTCTAGCATGTTTAGCACACAATGGCATATTTTACTGTGTTGCTAAAAGTGCATTACAGTATTAAACATGTCACTTCCCGTTGCTAGTACGTCGCGCTATAACTATAACTGAATATGAGCATGTAGATGTCTTCAGGCCAGGAGTCTAATCAAACGTGTGAAGTTTGAGGCAGATTGGACATTGTATGCATGAGTTGCAACAACTTCCTGTTTGATGGCATTAAATAGCATGCTTTAGCACTTAGTAAGTGTTGCTAGCATGTTTGAGCATGTTTCTAACATGTTTAGCACACAATGGCATATTTTACTGTCTTGCTAATAGTGCATCACAGTGTTAAACATGACACTTCCTGTTGCCAGGAGGTGGCGCTATGACTATAACTGAATATGGGCATGGCCATGTGTTCAGGACAGAACACCTATCAAACGTGTGAAGTTTGGGGCAGATCGGACATTGCTTGCCTGAGTTACAGCAACTTCCTGTTTCATGGCGAAACATCAAATTTTGCCAGGGACATGCCCTTTGACGAAAACTCAAGATCTTCGCAATTTAACGTCACAAAGGCCTTATGATAACCCTCACCAAATTTGAAGATGATCAGATTAAAACTGTAGGAGGAGTTCGTCAAAGTACGAGGCCTGGAAATGGCAAAAACTGCACAAAAATCGTACAAAAAAATTCTAAATAACGTACATCCTGTTGGGTTTTGTACCAAGATTTTGTACGAAGATACTTTTTTGAAGGTAATGGTGTGTTACATGTGTGTACCGATTTTCGTACCTGTACATAAAACGTAGCTTGAGGCGCACTCCTTTGAAATTTGACAGGTGGCGCTATTGGGCCATTTTGCCACACCCACTTCTGAAACCCATATCAGATGTAAATTTTTGCCAGTTCTGATGCATGTGCATGAGTTTTGGAGCTTGTTTAGGCCCTCAAAATGCGATTCACTTTGGAGAAGAAGAAGAAGAAGAAGAAACGGAGCAATTCCAATAGGGTCCTAGGCTCGGGCCCTAAATATCTTATATCCTAAATAATAGTCAATACAGAGAGACTTTGAATATTGCGATAATCTAGACTTCAAGTACAAAAGGTTGAGAACCATTGCTCTAGTATATATCTGTCTACAGCATTTGCAAGAACACAATGATTCACATAATGAATACTTCAGTCTAACACATGGAGCCTTAATAGTTTGTCATGCAGTAAAAATATTTTTTGTATAGTTTCATATATATTGTGACTGACAGCACAATGACACTCTATTGAATCACTTTGCCGTGTGCTTATTCAAACCAGAAAGAATCATTTGTTCTTCTTTGATTGCACATGATTGAATCAGCTCTGAATCACACAGGTGAGGAGGAGGTGTGTTCCACAGACAGCGGCAGAAACTTCAAAGGACTTTCAGAAAGCTACGGTTCCTTCACTGGAGTGTGTGATCTGACTTTGATGGTTATCCTTACGCCTGTTTGAATCACCAACTACTGCCTCTAATGTCCCGAGAACCGTACGGTTTCTTTGGTTATTATCTATACGGCTCCGGCTGCCGTTTCCGCCCCAAACTCAGGAACATCTTGGAGCAAAAACCGCTCTGTTTAGTTCAAATAATTATATCCTCAAAACAAGCTTGCTGTCAGTCATCCTAATGTTTATTTATACATTCATTGTTATTTGTGCCTAATTCTGTTTTATGTTTATCTGTAAGCTTTTTTTCCCTGCCCTATTTTTCTAAACAGTTGCTATAGAAACATACCAGAAGGAAAGTCTTATTGAAGAATTTTCTCCAGTGCCAGAGTGTTCCTGCAAAGCCCATCCTGGAGAACAGAAACAAGCTGGTTCTGGCAGGCGGGTTTAATAAGCTGTCCCAAGACACTCCACAACAACCCTTCACCTAAAGCCCCAGCAGTCCTGCATCACGGCATCTTCAGCACACCCCTCTCTCCAAAACACGTGTCCTCCACTCCTGAGCAGCTCTGTGAACAGTGAGCAGTAATTGTATGATAATACAGAAGGTGCATTCAGTGCTGGGATGGTGCTGTTCCCGCTTGTTTTATTGAAAATGGTACACGGGCCACGAAAGAGAAAGATTGCTCGGCCTGGTGGTTCCTGTTGCTGTATCATTAGCCGGCCCTAATTGGATATTAATGACTGTGCTTTTCCATTACAGCAAACTGCACACCTGACAACATTAACATTGTGGGGAGATAAGAGGAAACGGCCAAACCACCTCTGTGATTCCAAAAAGAGATGTGCTTAATGAACTAAAGGACTGATAAGGGAAAAGGACTTCCTTTCTGTCAACAGGAGAATATCTGAACTAACACATCCACATTTTCCTAGGATGCGTGTACATGTTTTTAAGCATTTTTTCTGCAGCTAAAAAAAAGAAAACTAATCTCAACTCAACTTTAAAATAAAATCTAAACTAAAGTTAAACGAAGATAAAACAATAAAATATAAAAGAAAAGAAAATGAAAAACTTAATCTAAGCAGAATCAGGGTAAATCCGTGTATCATTCGATCATTCGTTTTTTGATTTAATATTGAAAGTAGAAAAATGAGAAAACAGCTCCTTTTTCGTATTTTCATTTTTTTTCCAAAACACGAAAAACGAGAATTCAGCTTAAATTTTAGTTTTTCGTTCTTGGAAAAAAACAAAAAAACGAAAAAGGAGCCGTTTTCTCATTTTTCTACTTTCAATATTAAATCAAAAAACAAATGATCGAATGATACACGGATTAAGGTATCTTCCGAACATTCGTTTTTTTATTTAATATTGAAATCTGAAAAATGAAAAAACTGCACATTTTTCATTTTTCATTTGTTTAAACAAAACGAAAAATCAATAATTTGGCTTCATTTTTCGTTTTTAGGTTCAGGGATAGAAAACGAATAAGCAGCTTGAATATTCGATCTCTACATGTGGGCGGGAATGAAACGCCCCTCTCCGCTGATTGGTCAACCAAACATTTAATAGTCCTAAAAAAACATAATAACAGTCCTCCGCTTCTATGAATTCCTAACGTGTTTATTTCTACTACATTTTATCTCTTTCTCTTCATCAAACAGCCAGATTAACGAATGGCTTGACACAAACCGTATGGAGGCAGAGCCTAGACAGAAAATGTATTTTGTGTAGGCATAAATTCTGCAACCTACCCGTGAAATATTAGTTAATCTCATAAATATTAATTTACTTTGCACCTGCACTCACAACTACCTACTAGCCTACATCTTTGGCACACCGCCTGAATTATTATAGCTAACAAAAAAAATTTACTATTAAAATCTGTGTGGCAAAGCTGTGCGATGCACTGCAGCGAGGGAAGAATGTATTGTAGACAAGCGCAGACCACTATTAATTTATGTGAACAGGTAGTTTTAGACAATAAACTAAGTTTATTTAATCAATATTGAGTATTGGCCAGCTAACTGATGGCATACAAAATTGTTATTTTCTCTGCCAACTAAACCAAAGTCACAGAACCGTTGTGTGACTGACTCGCAGCAGGCGCATAGAGTGGTGTATCATTCCTGAATGAATCAGAGTCTTTGAAAAACCCATTATTATAGACAACAATACAATTACCAATTATTATAGACAGCCGCTTGATTTTATTCCTAAATGAATGAATGAAGCATTTTGAACGAATTGATTGAATAAAAGGCTCCTTTATGAACA